TGTGTGTGTGTGTGTGTGTGTCATTGTGGGGTCCTGTTTTTGTGCATTTGTGTGTGTGTGTGACATTGTGGGGTCCTGTTTTTGTGCATTTGTGTGTGTGTGTGGCATTGTGGGATCCTGTTTTTGTGCATTTGTGTGTGTGTGTGTGTATGTATGTGTGGTACTGGGAGTTTTGTTTGTGATACAGACATTAATGGAAAGATGGGTAAAATCCAAACGCAGTCTGTATTCTCAAGTTTTGTGCTAGTATTGATTTCTTTTTGACGGTGTCCTGTGCCAATGTTCTGTTATGATGTTCTCATCCAGGAAAAATTGCAGTAGGAATCTTTGTATTATCTTGAAAACTTTTATAAATCTGAAATTATTTTTTTACAAAATAACCAAGTAGAAATGACCCACAAAAATGAATAGAAAAAACACCTTCTAAAGGCAAATAGGACCTTTTAAAAAAAAAAAAACTACCTATTACATTATCTTGTTCATATCTGTAGGATATGAACAAACAGCAGCGCAGACGTGGTCGGAGATGGAGGCATTTGATAGCATGACATTTGCTGCCTTATCTAAATTACTCTCCAACCTTAATAAAACAGGAGTACAAATCTCAGGAGGCTCTTTCATCAAGCTCGACAAGCCCATTTGAAAATTCATTTGGAAGCAACAAGGTGAGGAACATTCAGGAGCATTTAGAAAACCGAAGAGTGGAGCAGCCCCTTCAGAAGTTAAGGCACCATAAATCGGTATTAATGAATATGGTGTGTTAATAATATACAGAGGTAGACAAATGGGCCAATAGAACAGACCAGAAAGTTCAGGGAGACACATGAGTCTTCCTGGTACGGAAACATAAAGTGTGCGTGTGACATCCCTAACACTAGAAATACAAAAATAAAAAAATTCTAAAACCTAATATTTATTAGAATATTAGAATCTCTATTTATGTTCTTAAGGGCAGTTTTCTTCGGCATAAAAGCCAGGACTCATAAGGAAAGATAGTTGGATTTTATAGGGCCAATATCTGACGCTGTTTCAAGGTCCAGAGGTAGCATGGCTCTTTTCATTTGTTGGCGTTGGTTGGTGTGGGGTCAGAAGGTAACTCAAACTCGGGGGGGGGGGGAGAAAAAATCCTTTCATATGCTTTGAAAGAGCCTTCTGTGCACCTTCCAAAATCCAGTCTAGTGCAGGCTGGGGAGCACCAGAAGAAAGACTCTGAAATAGAGGAAACTTAGTAGGAGAACTGGCTGAGACTCTATGGGACAAATTTGGGCTGTGTTTTGGATGTAGTCAGTGGGATATCCTGAAAGAAATAAAAGATTGTGTGGCTTTTGCCTATAACAACTGCTCCTGTTTTTAGAGATGAGGAAAAAAGAAAAAAAATTGCTGTTTGTTACTGGGGATTGGACCCAGTGTCTAATGCATGTGAGGCAAGCGCTGTACCAAATGAACTACGTCGATCCCTAGCCCCTAACATGTTGTTTTAAGTGCTTTTGAGTTACCTGTTAAATACATGAATGAAGGATCTGGCTTTCACGTGGATTGTGGAATATATGAGACTAGGGTTGTGCAGAGAGTTTTGTGGCATAGGATTACAATTTGGATCTATTGGTGTATGACTAGACATTTACACCTTGCGGCTAGGTTAGGAAATAGGTGGCTACCTGGGAAGAGGTTGTGTAAGAATGGTAGCCATGTTCTGAGGCAAGAACATTCAGCATTCGGAGGTTGAGTAAAGGAAAAGTGGGCTACGATAGGTGAAGAGGCCACGAATATAGAGGACCGTTCAGTGTTGCCCCAAACAAGAGACAATAGAGAGGGTTGTTGTTACCGGTCCATTTCAGATGTTGAATGTAAGCATGAAGAGAATTGGTAAAATTGTCATGCAATTTCAGGGGCGTCAAAAGGAAATCTTCATGGCATATATGTTAGCCAAAGACGTGTAGGGAGGTTGTGTAGCTGGTGAAAAGAGGCTGACTGTAATATGGAGAGAAAATGAGATTGAGGAATACTGAGGAAAGGGGGTCCTAGCTCCCTGGGACCTACTGAATTCTCAGAGAACTGATGACCCATGACCCAGAGATAAACTGGTTTTGCAGCTACAAGGGACAGAGTCCTTTAAATATGTTAAAATACACCCCCACCCGGAGAACTTTAACAAGACATTAGAATTCCCTGGGGGCTCCAAAACCAATCTCTGCGGAGTCCTGAGCGCGGACTGCGTTTAACAGCTCTCCTGTTGAGCAGAATGGATAGTCAGATTCAAAGATTTAAGCAAAGTGTGGCGTTCACCTTCACTGCATGCGCTTGCATAGAAAGGACAGTATTTTCATTCATATGCTGTGCTTATGTGGCTCTGCGAGGGGAGAAAGCCTGCCCAAGGTCCGGGGATTTAAAACTGCGTAGGCTGTCTATAAGCACACCACTCCTCTGTCTAGTAAGCAACCACGAATAACTCTTTAAGTATAAATATAAAATTGAATCCGAGGTATCATATTTGCTATACTCTTAGGTAAAACTGTTTTTAATCCACGGACCACGGTCTTGAATTTTTTTTCCCTTAAAATGAAAATACTGCATTTTATGTGCCTAATAAAAATATACGACCCAAAGTTTAGCGGCCACACAAAAATACAATTGTGTGGATTTACTGGAATTCAATTATGTTCTGCAGAGTACATATTTAGCCATAAGAAAGAACGCCACGCTCCGTAAATAACCCCCCCCCCGAAATTAGTCTTTCACACACCTGTGCTTATTTCCTTTGCTTGAATTCCTTGGCAGTAAAATGGTTCCATCAATAGTACATTAACAAACTTTTAATAATTCATCGATTTTACTGCCAGGGAAGAAATACCATTTATCCGCCAAGAAAATTCATGGGCTAGGAGAATAAAGCCAAAATCATTTTTCCGTACTCTATCCTCCCCTCCCCCATTTCTTTTCCTAGAGGTAACCAGTTAAAATTTTCTTGTACATCGTTCCAGAAGCTTCGCCCGCATTTCTATTTATTTTAAACAAAGAAACAAATGAGAGAGAAAAGCAGAAAACCACACTTACCATTCCGTTTGTACAAACTTCAGCAACGTGTTTTATTTCATTGCATCTATTACGGTCTAGGTCCTTTGCGGCAGCGATACCCCGTTATTTTTTCCGGTGACAGGAATTTCTTCTATGAGAGGCAGGCTTGGTAATCTACCTGCTCACTCCCCTCGCAATTTCTCGCTATTCTACGCAGTAGATTTCGCGCAACGGTGGGTGACAGCATGCGATTCAGCGCACTGCCATAAACCGCCTTCACCCGGTATCTCAGGTTGGCGTTTTGCTATGCCGAGTCAAGTCATGATTCTTCCAGCCATTTGTATTGTCCTCTGACTTGCGGTCTCTTTTGCCCCCTTTTTTTGGTTTGCCTTTGTCTGTCCCTTGTAGGTTTCCAATAGCTCTTCGTTTATTAAGGAAATGAGCTTAGTGCTTGGGTGTTGCAGGCAGAAAACTCCTTTCTTCCACCTTTATCGTTCGTGGTTAGACCTCAACGTATATGTTTTTGCCTCGATTTTTCATGCCTTTTTTTTCCCCTTTTCCCGTTTTTTAGACAAATATATGCTTGTCCTTTATCCCTCTCTTTCTTCTTAGGTTTTGCATTGGACCATCATTGGTAGGCATTTCTGTTTCACCTCGATTTCTTTTGGGGGGGCTGCATCCCTTCACACCCACATCCCATCCCCCTTTTCCAGACCCTGCTTGGGGGCCCCTAACACTGACTCCGTTGACGTCAACTCCGTGCCTTGGCGCCAAGCTGTTGCCTTGACAACCGCAGTCTGATTGGCAAGGTGTGGGAGGCGTGGTGAGGGCCCGAGGCGGGCGACAGGGTCTCGGATTGGTCAGAGAAGAAGCTCCGCCTCTGCAGAGGACCCTGACAAGGAGGTGTCCCGCAGCTCTTGCTGCAGACGCTGGGGAGTCAAGAGTCGCAGGAGGACGAGCATTGGAGGAGAAGCGGAGAGATGTCCACCCTGGGCTGGTGGCGCCGCTGGGCGCCCGGTTCAGTGTGGGCGCACTAGGCGGCTGACCTCGGTCGGGGTGTGTGTGCGGCGTGCGGTGCTCCGGGGAGGTGAGTCAGCCAGCTACCTGCCTGCCCAGTGGCATGCACCTTCTTGGATACCGTCTGCAGAGTTCAGACGGTGTTCGGGGTGCGTTGCTACGGGCCAGGGGCGGCAAACCATGTCACATTTCACCGTAGGTAGTTGACAAGGCTGCAAACTGCGCCTTCGGAAAGGTGGTTCGCCAAGGGGCGGCTGTGTTGCCGCAAGGGTATCACTTCTGTGGTTGGGATCTGAAGGGTACTCCATGTATCGGGGCCTCGGAGCCTCGGAGTCCCACGATCTTAGGATCTTAGGGTTTTAGGGGCGAACCACCCAGAATCTCAGCAGAAGCTAGGCCCCCAACTTTCGTCTGAACGACTGACAGCCGTGCAGATGATGCCCGAGTCGTGTCACAAGACCACTCATGTGGACATCAGAGTGGCATCTCTAAGCCACCTCTTCTGTAGTTTCATTTTCTTTGCTCAGCAGAGTCTGGGGGCTACGTGGTTAACCTGACCGCCAGCACATCTGGCTAGCAGCATCTTCGCAATCTAACCATCCACCGCTATGTGCTGGACTGTCCTTGGGGGCGGGTCTTGTTTTGCCGCAGTGGCGGTGGGCGGGGCTGAGAGCAGCTTGGAGGCGGGGCCAGAGCTAAGGCCGTGAGATACTTTTGGGCTCCACCCAGTTGGCGCCATCTTGGAGGGTGGAGAGAGGTTCGTTGCGCAGGCTTATCCTGATTGGCTCCCTGTAAAGGGGCGGGGCTAAGGCAGAGTGACGGTGGGCGGTGCCAGACTCAGCAGGCCCAGCCCACCGGGCGCCATCTTGAATGAAGTCCGGATTTGCCGCGCAAGCGCGGCTTTAGTCTGTTGACGTAAGAGCGCCAAAGGCCGAAGTGGTTTGGGAATTTGGGGTGTTATCTCTACGCTTCCTCTGCTGACTTACAGCAAAGGTGCACCCCAATTATTGTCTTGTCTGACTGGCCTCAGCTGGAGCCAGGCACTCACTAGGTTTCCGGGCAAATGCTGCCACCCTGCGGCTTTCCATCTGAGGATTGCGCGGCACTGTCGCACTCTCCTCGTTTTTCCGTGCCTAGGTTTCAGTTGTAGAACCTTGAGTGTCATTCTTTTGACCCTGGGATGTATCTGACTCCATATATGAGGAGTGCTGTCGGGGTTCGGATATCCAGTGGGCAGGCATGAGGGAGGGGAGTCATCCTGAGTGACTGGCTAACCACGGAATACCATGCCGCAGGCGGGCAACTGCAGAGGCGCCATCTTGAGTGACAGCCCAGCTGGCTGCAGGAGGCGGGCTTTAGGGAGGGGCTATTGTTCTGAATGATAGAGCCTCATAGCCCCGCCCACCCTGGCGCCATTTTGTTGTCTGAGGGCGGAGCTTCGATGGTCTTGTGCGGGTTTCTTGAATGACAGCTGGACAGGCTTGCTGCAAAGAGGCGGGCTAGAGGGAGGGGCTCCTGGGCCTGAGTCATTATAGGGCCCCACCTACCATGACGCCATCCTGCTGGCTGCTGGCCGGAAGGGGGCGTGGGTGGGAGGAGTTATGAAGGGGGACAGCTGACGTGATGCGGCACAATCTTGAATGACAGCCCATTTGACTGCAGGGGACGGGCCTGAGGGCGGGGCTCTCGTCTTGATTGATGTGGCCATATAGCTTTATGGGCGTGTGTAGTTCTCTGCAGGGCGTCATCTTGAGTGACAGCTGGGCCAGTTTGCAGTGAGAGACGGGCCAGGGGCGGGGCTCTCTGGACCTGAGTGCCCACAGAGTCCCACCCAATGTTACCATCTTTACCTGGCAACCGAAGGTGGCTGCCAATTATGGGGCAGGAGCCATCTTGAATGACAGAGGGGCTAGCTGTTGGGGGTGGATCTAAGGGAGGAGCTTTCTTATCATGATTGATTAGGCCACTCGGATTGGCGTCATTCATTTTCTATACATGGAATGTCTGAAGTTGTCGGTAAAGATGTCATCTTGAGTGACAGTTGGACTGGCTGGCTGCGAGAGGCAGGCCAGAGGAAGAGGGGATATGGTCCTGGGTGACAGACCACTGAGCCCCATTCACCTTGGCGCCATCTTTATAGGACATATAAGAGCAGCTGACATTTATGGCGCAGGCGCCATCTTGCACACTAGCTAATCTGGCTGCGAAGGGCAAACCACAGGGAGGGGTTATACTCCTGAGTGATGGGACGGCATAACCCGGCCCACCCTTAGTGTAACACGGTTGGCTGTGGGGGTGTGTCTGAAGTGCTTCGTGAGGGTGTTATCTTGAATGACAGCTGGATGGGCTGGCTTCAAGTAGCAAGCCCGAGGGGTGTGGCCTTTCGCACCAGGATGACAGCGGAGCTCCGCCCACTCTGTCGCCATCTTTGCTGACGTTTATGGTGCAGTAGCTGTCTTGAATGACAACTGGGTTTGCCGCAGAAGGAGGACCAGAGGGCGGAGCTCTGATCTGGACTCCAGAGTCCTGCCCACACGGGCGCCATCTTTATTTGTCGTGGTTGCGGATTGACTAATATTCTTTGCGCTGCTGTCACCTTGAGTGGCCACTAGAGGGGGCAGAGGGACAAAAAGGATCTGGTCCTGAGGGACCATAGAACCCTGTTCACCATGGCACCAATTTTGATGGCGCATTTATGGCGCATGAGTCATCTTAAATGACAGCTGGGTTGGCTACAGGGGGCAGGTCCGAGGGAGGGGTTTTCTCTTCCAGAGTGACTGGGCCTCAGAAGCCCGCCCATCCTGGCGCCATCTTTGTTGGTCACAAGGGGGCGTCTGATGTTCACTCTGCGGTTGTCGTTTTGAATGACATCTAGGCTTGCTGCAGGAGGCGGGCCAGAAGGCGGGGCGTCTGGTACTGGCAGCGCCCTACTCTCCCTGGCTCCATCTTTGTTGGCCACAAGGGGGCATCTGGCTTTCGCTGTGCAGATGTCATCTTGAATGACGACAGGGATTGGCTTCAGGGAGGGATTCTACTCCTCATTGACATAGACAGCACAGCCTTACCCACCCTCCCTGGCGCCATCTTTGTTGGCCACAAGGGGGCGTCTGCCATTCACTGTGCATGTGTCACCTGTAGGCAGCAGTCTGAGGGAGAAGTTTCTTTTTTTCATAACAGAGTTACAGAGCTCTGTGTTTCTTGGTAGACTAAGGACTGGGACCTGAGCAGGTTTCATCTTAGGTACAACAGAGGGCAGGGGTCACAGTGCCTCAACTTTATATCCACACACAGGTGACTGCAGACACTCTTTTTATACATAGGTACTAGAAGGGGGAAAAGGTGGGGTTAGCCACAGTGGGAAGGGAGTGGTTGATGGTGGGGGTAGAGGGAATGGGTCACTGTCAGCACCCAGAAGACTAGAGCCACTAGAAGGCCTCTGGGGCTGTCACACTATGGGTGAACTCTCTCAGTACTGTTTACTCGGAGATTTTAAGTCCCTCCTTGACCATTTCTTTTCCTCTAATGTTCACCTGTAACATGTTTCCTTGCTCTTAGAGGATGGGAATGTCACATAGCTAATTAGTAACCAATTAGGTTCTTGGATTGGTTCCTTAATCCAGAATCCCCTTGAAGACACCAAGATACCTCAGCAATTTCTTCAGTGCCCTTGACATAGGAAAGGACTGTAATTAAAGTCCAGGGCACAGTGTGTATCTGGGGAAGAGTTGATTGCCCATGACTTTTCATCCTGGGTGTGGGGAGGTCCTGGCCTCATTTGATGTCTGCCTTTGCAGGGAAAGAAAAGGTGAAGCTGCTGAGGGTTGCTTCCCACCCAGAGAACGCTGTAATTGTAAAATCAGCTCAGTGTTTTATGTCTTCCTTTTTGTCCACAGCTCTACCTTCTTGATCTTCTGTCCTTCTTGAGACCGCTGGTAAAAGGAAGCCTAACTAGGTCCTCCAGCAGCTAGGTGGCTGGTCCAGGTGAGTTATTCTCACACCCCAGAGCACCACACCCATCTCTGGAGTATTCACTTCCCTTCTTTACGCTGACATTTTCCTGATGTATATATATGCTGCACAACTATAAGAACACCATTTTTACTCTGAGAACATGCATACCTATCTGGTGGGCCATGAATTTGCTAGAATTTTCCCCCCTTAGCCTTACTTCCTCCTTTTCTTTCTCCTATCTTTCTCCCCTGACACTCAGGTAATCCTTCAGGCTTCCTGCTTTGGCTGGGTGATTTAAGAAGCAGGATAAATTGTATTCACTTGCCACCACCCTAGGGAATACTTTGTGCCATGTACCATCTCAATTGGGAAAGGACGAATTTTCATGGAGCATAAATGGGGGAACTAAAAAATGTGATTGAATGGTTTATATCCTTGAAAGTACACATCTGCACAGAGAAACTAACTTAGTCTGGGAGAGGCCAGATGGTGCCTCCCTGAGACACCTGGGAACCTTAAAGCTGGGCTTTGAAGGATTATAAATGGTATGTTTCATGGGGAGAAAAGATTGATCAGAGGGGTCATCAGATGTTCCTGAGGGACGCAGAGAAAGGAGCTGAAAACCAAGGATGTCTGGAGCAAGAGAAGAATGATAACTGACGGAAAAGGTGAGAAAAGGTAAGTTTGAGGGTTTCATTATAAAAGGCCTTAAAAATCAATGGTAAGTATTTGGGCTTAACCGGAAATGCAACGGGAAGCCCCTGAGGTGTTTGGAGCACAAGAGTGACATGAAGACCACATGTACATTGGTAGGGAATCATCTGGCTGCAAGTTGCAGAGGGCAGGGTAGCCACGCTTGGTTCGGGGAGAGCACCTTGAGTTTGGGTGAGAGGATGGCTTGCTTGGCTTGGAGTCCCGGCCCTGGAAGACCT